AGATAGCATCCATGGATGGGAGGTTGGCTTCTGTGATGGCTTCTGTGCACACAACTTTCCATAGTTTCTTACAGTCCATGGCAGAGCAGTTGCTATACCAAGACGTTATGAACCCAGACAAAATGCTTTCTCTGGTGCATCTGTAAAGGCTGCTCAGGGTCGTTATGGACATGCCAAATTTCCTTAACCTCCTGAGGAAGAGGAGCAGTTGTTGTGCCTTCTTGACCATCACATCAACATGGGAGGTTCAGGACAGACTGTTGGTTATTGTCACTCCTAGGTACTTGACGCTCTCATACCTCTCCACCTCAACTCCATTGATGTACATAGGGGCGTGTCCTCCTCCTTTCTTCCTGAAGTCAATGATCAGTTCTTTTGTTTTGCTGACATTGAGAGAGATTGTTATCATTGCACAATGTCACCAAGCCCTCTATTTCCTTCCCATATTCTGATTCCTCATTGTTTGATATCCGGCCTACAATGGTGTCGTCAGCAAACCTGTAGATGACGTTCATACGAAATTTGACTGCAGTCGTGTGTGTACAGGGAGTACAGTTGCGGGCTGAGGACATATCCTTGCAGGGTGCCACTTTTGAAGATTTTTGTGCAGGAGTTGCTGTTGTCTATTCTCACTGATTGCAGTTTGACTGAGGATCCAGTTTCAGAGAGCAGAGCCAAGACCTTGGTCTCCGAGTTCTGAATTAGTTTAGTAGGGATTATCGTTTTGAAGGTGGAGCTGTAGTTGATAAGTATGAGCCTGACGTGGGTGTCCTTGTTATCCAGATGTTCCAGGGATGAGCATAGGGCTAGGGAAATGTTCTGTCAGTAGACAAATTGCAGGGTATCATGGCTGGTAGGCTAAAGTTGATGTCAGCTACGAACAACCTTTTGAAGCACTTCATGATTATCGAGACCAGAGTCACTAGACCATAGTCATTGAGGCATGTTGCATGTGTTTTCTTTGGTACTGGGATGGTGGTCTTCTTGAAGCAGGTGATGACTTCAGATGGTAGCAAGAAGAGGTTAAAGATGGAGAATGCAAGTTAAGACATGGGCAGCAATTTTAAATCACATTTACAGAATGGAGAACAAGGAAGGCCAGCTAAGAATGTGTTGAAATAGTCAAGCTTGGAAATAATGATGGTGAGAATGAAGGTTACAGCAGCTGACAAACTCGAGGGGGCAGTCAGAATGTAATCAAGATGGCGAAAGGCAAAGTGACAGTTTGGGAAATCAGTGAAGACAAAAGGACAAATCAATTAAATTCTATTCACATGGAATTGTATTTTAACTATTACTTAATTAGGTAATATCGAATGGTGTAAATAATCACCAAGGGCATAAAATGTATAAAACCAGAAAGTTTGGCATTAGTATTTGGATTCATAAAGGAAAGAAACCAAGTTCATAACTCTAAAAAGTTTGAACTCTCAACCAACAACCATTAACCATGGTTGTAAAATGCTGCCTACATTGTGCATTAGTATTACTTCAACATTTAAGAACCATGTTGAAAACCATAAACTATCAACTCCTCGATCCACTGCAGCTTCATCCTGAACGGCTTCTTGATGGATTTTAAGGTGATAGGCCTCAACTCAGCTGCACAAAGCAACGTTCAAGATTTGGGTTACTACAAATCAAGAAGCAGTGGACAAGTATTCCACCCATAGTTGATCATCCACAAAAAACAAATGAAGAAGCTAGACACATTATCTGATGATTAACATCATTTGAACTGGTAACCGGTTGTATTTTAATTTTATTCCTGGATTAGGGAAGGATTCCATGGCACTCAAAAATAGAAAATATAGCACCTCTAATCAAAAAGGGATGAAAAGCAAAACACAGAACTGAAGGTCAGTTAACTTGACAGCTGTTGTGGGGAAAGTTCTGGAAACAAGATTATATTGTACACTCCGAAAAACACAAGGTATTCGGGAAGTGTCAGCACAGTTTTGACAAAAGGCAATGATGTTTAACTACTTTAATGAGTTCTTTGAAAGAAGCATCATGTTGCAGTCAAAGAGAAGCCCATAGAAATACTGTATTTGGACTTCCAGAAGGCAATTGGTAAGGTGCCATATCAAAGGTTATTACAGAACATAAGATCTTGAGATGTAGGGCGTAACATATTAAAATGGACAGAAGATTGGTTGGCTCGTGGGCAGAAAACAGAGTATACATAAATGAGTCTTTGATTTGCAAAATGTGACCTCACACTTGTGCTGGGACCTCACACTTTTAAATTTAAATCAATGATTTAGATGAGGAAGCTAAGGCATAGCAGCTAACTTCACAGACAACACCAAGATACATAGGAAAGTAAGGTTTATAATTGGGAGAAGGGTAATTATAATTCTGTTATGCAAGAACTGGGTAACATGAAATGGGAAGAAATGCTGTCAGGGAAGAGCATTATTGAAATGTGGAGATTATTTAAGGAATGCATACTGCGTGTGATCGATATGTTTGTCCCTAGCAGGCAGGGAAGATGCGGTCGAGTGAGGGAGCCTTGGTTCTCAAGAGAGGTCGAATGACTGGTTAAGAGGAAGAAGGATGCTTATGTAAGGTTTCGGAAACAAGGAACGGAAAAGGCTCTAGAAGGATATAAGTTATTCAGGAAGGAGCTGAAGAAAGGGCTTAGGAGAGCTATAAGGGGGCATGAGAAAACTTGGCAGATAGAATCAAGGAAAACTCCAAGGCTTTTTACACATACGTGAGAAATAAGAGAATGACCAGAGAAAGGGTAGGGCCGATCAAGGATTGGAAAGGGAATTTGTGCACAGAGTCTAAAGAGATAGGAGAGGTCCTTAATGAATACTTTTCTTTGGTATTCACAACTGAGAGGGACCTAGTTGTAGAGGACGACAGTGTGAAACAGGCTGGTAGGCTAGAGGAGGTGGATGTTAGGAAGGAAGATGTGCTAGAAATTTTGAGGAAGTTGAAGATAGATAAGTCCCCTGGGCCTGATGGGATTTATCCAAGGATTCTATGGGAAGCGAGGGGAGAGATCGCAGGGCCTTGGCGATGATCTTTTCGTCCTCACTGTCCACAGGTATAGTGCCGGAAGATTGGAAAGAGGCAAACGTCATTCCCTTGTTCAAAAAAGGGAATAGGGATAACACCGGAAATTACAGGCCAGTTAGTCTTATGTCAGTGGTAGGCAAATTATTGGAAAGGGCTCTGAGAGATAGGATTTATGATCACTTGGAAAGGCACAGTTTGATTCGTGATAGTCAGCATGGATTTGTGAGGGGTAGCTCATGCCTCACAAACCTTACTGAATTCTTTGAAGAGGTGATCAAACACATGGATGAAGGTAGAGCAGTGGATGTGGTATACATGGATTTAAGTAAGGTGTTTGATAAGGTTCCCCATGGTAGGCTCATGCAGAAAGTAAGGAGGCATGGGATAGGGGGAAATGTGACAGACTGGATTCAGAATTGGCTGACCCTTAGAAGACAAAGGGTGGTAGTGGACAGAAAATATTCAACATGGTGCTCAGTTACGAGTGGTGTACCACAAGGATCTGTTCTGGGTCCTCGACTATTTGTGATTTTTGTAAATGATTTGGATGAAGGAGTGGAAGAGTGGATTAGTAAGTTCGAGGACGATATGAAGGTGGGTCACGTTGTGGACAGTGCGGAGGGCTGTTCTAGGTTACAAAGGGACATTGATAGGACGCAGAGCTGGGCTGAGAAGTGGCACATGGAGTTTAACCCTGAAAAGTGTGAGGTGATTCATTTTGGAAGGACAAACTTGAAAGCAGAATACAGGGTTAATGGAAAGATTTTTGGCAGGGTGGAGGAGCAGAGGGATCTTGGGGTTCATGTCCACAGTTCCCTGAAAGCTGCCACCCAGGTGGATAGAGTTGTTAAGAAGGCATATGGTGTGTTAGCTTTCATTAATAGAGGGATTGAGTTCAAGAGCCGTGAAGTTATGCTTCAGCTATACAAAAGCCTGGTTCAGCCACATCTGGAGTATTGTGTCCAGTTCTGGTCACCTCATTACAGGAAAGATGTGGAAGCGTTGGAAAAGGTGCAGAGGAGATTTACCAGGATGTTGCCTGGAATGGAGAGAAGGTCTTACGAGGAAAGGTTGAGAGAGCTAGGGCCTTTCTCTTTAGAACGACGAAGGATGAGAGGTGACTTGATCGAGGTGTACACAATGATCAAAGGTATAGATAGGAGTGGACAACCAGAGATTTTTTCCTAGGGTGGAGGTAGCTATTACAAGGAGGCATAGTTTTAAAGTGAGTTGAGGTAGATATAGGAAAGACATCAGAGCTAGGTTCTTTACTCAGAGTAGTCGGGGTGTGGAATGCATTGCCGGAGTGGGTAGTGGAGTCGGCCTCATTAGGAGCATTTAAGCGGCTATTAGATAGGCATATGGACGATAGTATAAGGTAGGGGTGGAGGTTAGATAGGCTTTAGAATTAGGGTAAAAGTTCGGCACAACATCATGGGCCGAAGGGGCCTGTACTGTGCTGTACTGTTCGATGTTCTAGTATATCAAGAAGACATAATGAAGCTGAAGGCTAATTGAAAGAGATTGAGCGAGAGGGCAAAAATCTGACAGATGGTATACAATGTGTTCTTTGACAGGAAGAATAAAAAAGTGGGGCATTATATTTGGACTGGATCTCAGGTACTGAGTATGGTTTGATCTTATTTACGGAACTATGTAAATGCATTGGAGGCAGTCCTAAGGTAACAACTGAAACGAATGGGTTGTTTCATGAGGATAAGTTGGATGAGCCAGACTGGTTTTCATTGGGGTTTAGAAGAGTAAGGGATGACTTGATTGAGGTGACTAATAGCCTGAAAGGTCTTGACAAGGCAAATGTTTCCTCTTGTGTGTCAGTGCAGAACTAAAGGGGTAATGGAAATGTCAAAATTGAAATAAACATCAACCGCGATCTTATTAAATGGTGAATTTCCACGATTTCATACGTTTGCATGTGCTTTTTTATAAAAAACATTAATAGAAATTTTCCATTCCTTGTTTAATTTGGTTTTATTGATATGTGTCTGAAGGGAAAATCAACATACAGTCAGTTGAAATGATTTGGTTCAATTACAAAGTCCAATCCATAAAACTATTATACCAAATTACAAACACATTCCCAACAATTTACTTCATTGTACCATCTACTCAAATTATACTGGAACAGTCAGTCAGTGAAGTCAGTAACATAGTGCTTACAGGGTTGGACTCCATTTTTCTGCTGTGATAACAACTGCTTTCTGTTGAATCATTCTACTTGAGTGGTACCCAAACCAACCGCATTGGCATAAGCTGAAAGGATTTCAACCACTTGCTTTGTTTCGAGGGTCACACGAGCTTCTGTCAGCCAGTCCCGTGCCACCCTTCTTGGTTCTCCACGAAGTTGATTGACAAATTTAGCTGCGAGCTCTAGGTCACCATGTTCAATGCAGAATGAAGCGTACGATAACAGTCTAAATGTATCCAGGTCATCAGGGTTAAGTTCCTCAGGGGGCTTTATTACTTGGGGCTCCATTAATAGAAAGGACTGCAGGTAGGAGAGGAAATATTGATAGAGGCTATTTCTTGTCTCATCTATCATGGCCACACGCCGTGCCATTTTCCGCACTTTGTAGAACCGATGACGTAATGTCTCTTCGCTGTACACGCCACGTGACAGACACTCTTGAGGAAGGGCTCTGACTAAGGCTTGTGTAAACTTATCATCTTCACAACTATTTGTAACAGCTTCTAGAGCTTTCTGAAGCGGTTCTGTCAGGCTATCACCAGAGGCTGTTTTTAATGTGTACTGCAGAGCTTCTATGGAGAGCCAGAGTTGATGTGCCTTTCTAGCCTCTTCTTCAGCAATTGCATGACCTGAAATGAGGAATTATTATACAATTTATTTGAAGTGGTTGGAGAGAACACAAAACCTTTAATTATAAATATTTATGTCATAAAGATTTAATGTAATTGTGTATCTGATATCATAAATAATGATATGGTTGATTTGTCATATTTTCTATAATTGGAAAAATGCATTGCTGCAATGGCTAGTAAATTGGAAGAACTGACTGAATGGCCTACTGCTATTCCACCACAGCTTACACCTGTGGCACCTAGGTTATAAACAGACTGGCTTCATCTCAGAATGTTGCCAAAGAGAAAGCTGGCGTAAAAAGTCAGAGAACAGACTTTGGGGCAGAGACCAAAAATAATATTTTCAATCTTAGGGCACATGGTGGATCAGTGGTTAGGGGCCCAGGTTTGATTCCAGCCTTGGGTGACTGTCTGTGTGGAGTTTGCATGTTCTTCCTGTGTCTGGCGGGTGCTCTGGTTTCCTCCCACAGGCCAAGATGTGTAGGTTAGGTGGACTGGCCATGCTAAATTGACTGTAGTTTCCAGAGATGTGCAAGCTAAGTAGATTAGCCAAGGCAAATGCGGGATTATGGGGATAGGATGCTCTTCGGAGGGTCATTGCACACTCGATGGACCAAATGGCCCCTTTCCACAGTGAATCTTCATAGAATTGCTCATTCAATACTGGATGATGGATAAGCAGCCTGGTTATTTAAAAACACTGGAGCAATTAAATGGTGGTGAGGTACAGACGGGTGTTGTCAGCAGACGTGAGAACTTGTGCTGTTGGACAATGTCATCAAGAGATAGCAGGTAAATGAGAAACAGGAGGCAGATAAGGAAAAGCCACAGGATGTCTCCTCTGGCTATGGTCATATAGATAAGAATGGAACCATGAGAACGATCCTACCTACTTGGAAAACAGATGGCGAGGCATTGGTGGAAGATTTGTGGTCCACAATGTCAAGGGCTGCAGACAGGTCAAGAAGGGAAAAGTTCACTTTGTCCCAGTAAGACCAACTTTATGTGACCTGTCTTCATAATTTGAATCTTTCAGATCCTGGTATCATTCTGCTGAATTTGTGCTACATCCCTCCATGGCTAGTGTGTTGTGCCTTAATAGTGGCACCATGAGAAGGATGCAGTACACATGTTTGAGTAAAGGCTAAATATGACTAATATACAGCTTCTTCACTTTAAATTCCAACTGTTTGAGATAAAGCCCAGCATTGCATTAATCCTTTCCATTATTTTATGTAGCCATGCACGATCTTCTAAATGACTGTAAGGACACCTAAATCTCTGTTCCTCCAGACCACTGAGAAAATATTCCAATTTGTCTTTTAGATCCACACTGGTTGGCACCACACTTGATTATATTAATTGTCACCTGTCCATTCACGTATTCACACCAACAAATATGTTCCCACCATTTTTATTTTACGACAAAGACTACCACAGCAGTGTAATGTCTCACTGGTTCTGACATCTGCATTCATAAAAATCATTTCTCAGCAGCTTGGCTACCATCAGTAAAGTCAGAATATATAGTCCACCCCCAAATGCCCTCGAGAAAAAGTGACGGTCAGCTAATTTCTGGTATTCTTGCAGTCCTCATGGTATTGCGCTGTTAGATTTCTTATTAGATTTCTATTATAGCAAACTGATATACTGAATTGCTTTCTTGATCATCTCAGACAGCAATGAGACAACCACACAAGAGACACTCTAGAATCAAATCGGCCAGACTGGGCAAGGATAGCTAATAATGGCTAGTTTTTTTCCCCGAAAGACACTGAAGAACCAGAAGGGCTTTTGTAACAGCCCAGTGGCATTACTGATGTTGCTGCCATCTTAATGGTGATGCTTCTTTTATGGGGTTTAGTATGGAACACCAAAATGTTGACTGAACAATGAAGGAATTTTGCAATGTCTGCTAGGATGGCATGGAGATCCTAGTGTTCCCAAAACATTGCTGCTCTTTCTCTTTCTCAGTTAAGGTCATGGAGGCGGAAGATGCTGATGGCATAATCTTGGTTAACTGCTGGTGAAGCAATGTATGAAGGACATACTGCAGCCAGTGTGCTATAATACAGGAGCGGATTTTAAGCCCAGAATGGCAACATCATCAATCCAACTAAGAATCCACTCAAGTGGTATCATTGCAGTCATACAAATCTAAGCACATATTCTTTCCCACCTCTAAACTGAGCTTTGTCGATGGGGAGGAGCTCGGGAAATAAGTCACTTGTCAGAATACTCATGATCTGGCTGCAGCTGTAGGCAGTGTTTACATGATTGGTTATGTTACGTCTCAGATCAATATTGAAAAAATAATTCAATAATAATTCAATATGTACCATCCAGTGACAGTAATGATGATATAACAGTGACCAATTCAGGCAATACATTGACAGAGTCCATGCATGGCTGTATAAGGGTTGGGCAAGGGTGAGTTTTAAAAAACTAAATTACCTGGAAAGAAATAATTTGGTGAATCTTCAGCCAGAATTTCTCAGAAAAATCTGATAAGCATTGTATTTCTGAATGTACCTCACCAACTGTTTGTAAAATTTAGGCAAAATAATGGCTATGACAAGTAGTTACTCACTCTCCATTGCTTGTTCAATACCCTTCAACCTAGAATAAGCTGCATTCATGTCTGTTGTAAAATTATCCAGTTGTTCCTGAGACAAGCGTCTGAATTCGATCTCATATTCAGATAACTTTTGTTGCAATTCCTGCAAATTAAAAAAAATGCAATCAAGTGGTAAAACTTTTCTTAAATATTAAAAGTTACGTGTAACTCAATCCATTTGGCTCTAAACAGACCATATTTCTCTCAGTTACTCTGCTGGTTTCAGTGGAAATGGAAAATTCACTGACCATTCCAAACTTATTGTGAAACACACTGAACGGTGAGAAAAGTGCAACATATTTTATTTTGGCAGTAATGGCTTAACATTCAGGGTACATTTACCTCCTGATATTTTCCTCTGACTTCCTGTTCCTGAATCTTCAGTACCTCCCTCAGATGATCTGTGTGAGCAGCAGCTTGCCTGCGTAGTTGAGTTCGCATCTCCGCCTCCATCACTTCACGTACTTCCTCTGCCTGAATTTGAAAAGATGAATGTACTCAATTGATTTTACTTTGTCATTTCTTGCCTCCTATCACTGCCGTTGTAACACAACCAATTTGACTTAGAATCATCGAGTTGTACAGCATGGAAACAGACCCTTCAGTCCAACTCACCCATGCTGACCGAATATCCTAAAATAATCTAGTCGCTTTGCTAGCATTTAGCCCATATCCCTGCAAGCACTTACTATGCATACCCATCCAGATGTCTTTTAAATATTATAATTGTACCAGCCTCCATCACTTTCTCTAGCAGCTCATTCCACACACACACCTCACTCTGCAGAAGAAGCTGCCCCTTAGGTCCCTTTTATATCTTTCCCTCGCGCCCTAAACCTAGGCCCTCTAGTTTTGGGCTCCCCTACCCTGGAAAAAGACCTTGGTTATTCACCCTATCACTCAGGATTTTATAAACATTTGTAAGATCATCCCTCAGCCTCCAACACTCCATGAAAAATAGCCCCAGCCTATTTAGCCTTTCAGTGTAGCTCAAACCCTCCAGCCCAGGCAACATCCTCATAAATCTTCTCTGCACCCTTTCAAGTTTAACAGCATCTTTCCTATAGTAGGGAGACTAGAATTGAAAGCAGTACTCCAAAATTGGCCTAACCAACGTCCTGTACAGCTGCAACATGACATCCCAACTCCTATACTCAATGCACAGACCAATAAAGGCAAGCATACCAAATGCCTTCTTAACTATCCTGTCTACCTGTGACTCCACTTTCAAGAAACTATGAATCTGCACCCCAAGGTCTCTTTGTTTGACAACACTCCCCACAACCCGACAATTAAGTGTACAAGTCCTGCCGTGATTTGCCTTTCCAAAATGCAGCACCTCACATTTATCTAAATTAAACTCCATCTGCCACTGCTCAGCCCATTGGCCCATCAGATCAAGGTCCTATTGTACTCTGAGATGACCTTCTTCGCTATCTAGTACACCACCAATTTTGGTGTCATCTGCAAACTTACTAACCATTTCTACTACATTCACATCCAAATCATTTATATAGAAGACAAAAAGCAATGGACCCAGCACTAATCCTTGCAGCACACCACTGGTCACCACTTCTCAAGTCTGAGAAACAACCCTCCACCACCCCCTGTCTCCTACCTTCAAAACAATTTTACATCCAAATGACTAGCTCTCCCTGAATTCCATGTGATCTAACCTTGCTAGCCAGTTTACCATGCGGAACCTTGACAAAAACGTCTTGCTGAAGTCCACATAGACAACATCCATTGCTTTGTCTTTATCAAGCTTCTTTGTCACTTCTTCAAAAAAACTCAAGTTAGAGGGACATGATTACCCATGCACAAAGCTATGTTGATTATTCCTAATAAGTCCTTGCTTTTCCAAATTCATGTAAATCCTGTCCCTCAGAATCCCCTCCAACAACTTCTCTATGACTGATGTCAGGTCTACAGTTCCCTGGCTTTCCTTACCACCTTTCTTAAATAATGATTGATTAATTGATTGATTGATTGATTGATTTTATTGTCACGTGTACCGAAATGCAGTGAAAAGCTTTGGTTATGAGTGTTACAGGCAGATCACAGCAAGCAAAGGATGTACAGATCAAAAAGACTTAGAGGCATACAGGTTACATTATTTGAGGATGGACTCTATCCGGCCGTCTGATAATGGCCAGAAAGCAGCTGTTCCTGAACATGCTCATGCATGCGTTCAGGCGTCTGTCAAGTATGTCAGTATGTGGATGACCCTACTAGAGAAGGAGCAAAACTTGACCTTCTCCTGGGAAATAAGGCACGGCAAGTGCCTGACAGAAGACATTGGAGGAGGTCATTACCAGGGTGCGATGGTCTTTGATGACGTTGGCAGCCTTTCCGCGGCAGCAAGCTGTGTAAATGGCGTCCTTGGATGGAAGGTTGGCTTCTGTGATGGTCTGGGCTGAGAAAAACAACCTTCTATAGTTTACTGGAGCAGTCGCCATACCAGGCCTTTATGCACCCCGACAGTATGCTTTCAATGGCGCATCTGTAGTTTGTGAGGGACCTTAAGGACATGCCAAATTTCCTGAGCCGCCTGAGGAACAGGAGGGATTGTTGTGCCTTCTTGACTGTTGCATTTACTTGGGAAGTCTACGACAGGTCATCGGTTATTGTCACTTCAAGGAACAGTCTGGAGGGGATAATGGTGTTGAAGGTGAAGCTGTGTTCAACAAGCAGGAGTCTGACGTTGATGTCAGTGGAATCACATTAGCCATCCTCCAAGCTTTCAATACATCACCCAGGGCTAACGATGACAGAAATATCTCAGCAAAGGACCCAGCAATCATTTCCCTAGCTTCCCAAGCTTCCTATAAAGTTCTGGGAAATAAGTGATCAGGTCCCAGGGATTTATCCAACTTAATGCCTTTTAAGACATCCAACAGCTCCTCCTCTGTAATACGGACACTTTACGAAATCATTGTTTATTTCTCCAAGTTCTCTAGCTTCCTTATCTTTCTCCACAGTAAATACGGATATAAAATACTGTGGTTCCACATATAGATGGCCTTGTTGATCTTTAAAGGGCCCTATTCTCTCCCTAGTTACTCTTTTGCCCTTAATGTATTTGTAGAATCTCTTTGGATTCTCCTTAACCCCATTTGTTAAAGCTATCTCATGTCCACTTTGTGCCCTCCTGATTTCCCCTAGAGTGTACTCCTACTGCCCTTATACTCCTCAAGGGATTCACTCAATCCCAGCTGTGTACACTTGCCATATGCCTTCTCCTTTTTCTTGACTAGTGCTTCAATTTTCCTAGTCATCCAGCATTCCCTGCACCCACCAGGCCGGCCCTCCACACTAATAGGAATATACTGCCTCTGGACTCTCATTATCTCATTTTTGAAGGCTTCCCACTTTCCAACTGCCCCTTTACCTAAGAAAAGCTTCTCCCAACCAACTTTTGAAAGTTCTTGCCTAATACTGTCAAAATTGACCTACTCCAATTTAGAACTTTAACTTTTAGATCAGGTCTATCCTTTTCCATAACTACTTTAAAACTAATAGAATAATGAATACTGGCCCCAAAATGCGCCCCCACTGACACCTCAGTCATTTGCCCTGCACAAGTCAGGAGTGTGATGGAATACTCCCCACTTGCCTGGATGAGTGTAGCTCCAACAACATTCAAGAAACTTGACATCATCTAGGGCAAAGCAGCCCTTTTGATTGGCACCCATTCACAAATATTCAGTCTCTCACCACAATGAGCAGCAGCATGTACCATCTACAAGATGCACTGCAAAAATTCACTAAAGGTCTTTTAGACAGTGGCTTCCAGACCCACAACCGCGATTCTCTAGAAAGAAAAGGGCAGTAGATACATGAGAACATCACCACCTGAAAAATCTCCTCCAAGCCACTCACTGACATGGGAATATATCATTTTTTCTTCAATGTTGCTGGATCAAAATCCTGCACCTCTCTCCCCAACAGTGAGTGCACTGACATCAAATGGACCGATTCAAGAAGGCAGCTCACTACCACCTTGGAGGACCATTCCTCATTTCTCATCTTGATTTCTTGCCAATGATTTCACGTCATGATTCTTAGTTATTGATCTATTTATAGTTTTTCTTTATCTACCGTATGAAAACCTCTCATCTTGAAATCTTGTTCTCTGTTCAAAGGAAACTACCTTTTTTCCAAACCGGTCCTTGTAATTGAGTCCTGAAATGACTTCACCCTCTGCTCAGTGCACAGCTTGAGAAACTGGCAGCTCTTCTTGAACACAGTTAAACATAACTCACAAAGTGTTCTGGAATTCCCGTGCACAGAACATGATGCACTGGCAAGAGATACCCACTGGTGTAACATGACAGCAATTCAATGATTTATAAACCATAAAGAACTTGACCATTAAAATACCTAGCAGTGAACCTTGAAATCTAAATAACCAAACTTTATGTCTGCAAGATATTGGTTAATAAAACCTGTGCTTTACCTTATTGTCCCTTTCAAGAAGTATTTCCGCTTGATAATGCTCCAAGGCTTTTGTGACTGCTGTGTCCAAAGATTTCTTGTTTTCTAGTTTCTGCTGCTCAAGAGCCTTTTCAATATGCTGCTGTTCCCGCACATGCTGTTCCGCCAACTGTCTGTTCAACTGGTCAATACGACGATGGGCATGGGCAATCAATGAGTTGAGGTCATCAGTGCTCAGCTGGCCAGCTACAGTTGGAAATAACATTAAAAAAAGAGAGAATGGAGCAAGTACATTCTGTGGCAGTAGATGAGGTAACACCATTCATTTGGCATTAAAATATTAGCATGACAAAGTTAAATACAGACAAAATATTTCATTTAATTAAAACATCAATTATATAACTGCATGCCAATTACTTCACAGACATAGTTTGTATGAATTTGCATACAGCTCAGATTAGAAGCTCACATTTAAAACCCATACTTGGGGAATGCATTTTTTGCACAGTAATGTTGAGGAAGGTTAAAAAATAGTTTCACAAAGTAAATATTTGCTAGGGTGATAGCATTCAAAATCTCATTAGGAGTACTCTAAACAGAAATTAGGGTATGCAATATTCACCACTCAGGAAGAAAGTGGCATTGTCCTATCATTTATTGTGATTGTTAAAAGGTCACGTGGCTAAAGAACATTATGATGTAAATTCAAATTCTGCTGTAAACCTGATTATTAAGTAAATGTAATATGTAGAGAAAAGACTGCAGGCACCAATTAAAACATCAGAAGGAGGGATCAGAACCATTCTGGGCATCAGCATGTTACTTTCCTTTGCATAAGGACAATAAATGCAATAGTCATGATTCAAAAATTTGTAAATTTTGGTGTAAAAATAGAAAATGTTATAAATACTCAGCAGTTAGGTAACATCCGTGGAGAGAAATTGAGTTACTGTTTCAGGTCAATTGGAGTTACTATTTCAGGTCAGAGTTCTGATGAAGTACCATTATTGACCTGAAATATTAACTCTGTTCCCCCCCACAAATGCTGCCAGACCTTTTGAGTATTCCCAGGATTTTCTGCTTTATTTCAGATTTCCAACATCTGCAGTATTTTGCTTCTGAAATTTAGGTTGCTCATTGAATTAACACATGCTTTTGTCAGACAAGTGGATTACCCCAGGGACCAGTGCTTGGGCCCCAGCTGTTCATAATATGTACAATTGGGTACAATGTTTCCAAGTTTGCAAACAACACAAAACCAGGTGGCAGAATTGTGGTGAGAAGGACTTAAAGAGGCTTCAAGGTGATTTGGACAAGTTGAATAAGTGGGCAAAGATGTAGCAGATGCAGTATAACCCTCTGGCTGGGGCATCCAGAACAAGGGGTCACGGTCTGAGGTTAGGAGGTAAACCATTTCAGACTGAGATAAGGAGCAATTTCGATACTTAGATGATGGTGAATCTGTGGAATTCTCTACCACAGAAAGCTGTTGAAGCAAAGTCACTGAATATATTTAAGAAATACATAGATTTCTAGAAGCTAAAGATGTCAGTGGGTATGGGGAGAGAGCTAGAATATGGCATTGAAATAGGAGATTGTCATGACCGGGTTGAATGGCACACCAAGCTTGATGGCTGACTCCTATTTTCTGTGTTTCTCAAACTATACTTCTCTTTTCCCAAGTACAATGGAATGCTAAGGGAAGTAACTTCACTATGAAGCATAGAATGGAAGTATAAAGCATCCTGAAGCAATGCTTGTCACTTGAACTCTGAATTCAAGAGCACCAATCCAGAAAATAAGACCATGTTTAAGTACTATTACCAGATTCCAATATAAAAAAAGCCGCTACTCTATTTGAGTCTCTGTGAGACTTTCAATGATAATATCTTGTTTCCAAATTTTGCTGTGAGTGGCAGCATCAAAAGCTCATATTTCACATAATAACCAGTTACTATTTTCCTGGCCTGCAAGTTGGGCTCTTGTAGTCCAGCATACCATTGTTTCGTAATTAGCTGCACTCTCTTTGCAAATTATACAAATGGAGCAAGCTCGAATAAACCCACCAGACTCACCTAGATCAGACACTGCTGTAATAAAAAAGAGTGGATAGAATTAATACAAGTTGACAACTAAGTGTAAATGAGAACACACACTAAACATTCGTTTTAATAAGGAAGCCTTTTAATTTTTTTTAAAATGAATATTTATAGCTTCAAAATTAGTTAGAAAGATACATAAAATAAAGTGGGACATCAACTCAGACCAAGTAAAGTACTACATCCTATAAGCCAGGCATAAATGAATATTCATTTACAGCTAATTTTCATCATATACACCTGCAAAGAGTGGCAAGAATTCTCCAGCAAAGTTGCACAAACATCAAGAGTATGCATACTAAATTAATAATTATCAGAGTGTGAATGTAACTTTCTTTTTTCTATTTGTTCATGTGATATGTGCATCTCTATCCTGAATTGCCTTTGAGTAGGTGGCATCAAGTTTCCTCTCAAAAAGGACGCTAAATAACTAGTTGGATTTTGCCTTGTCACTTAAACTGATACCCATTTTTATTTTTCTTCTTTTAAATTGAATTCAATTCTTCAAATAGCCAGTCGAATCCAAATCTATGCTCTCCAGACTATAAGCCACAGGGCAACTAGTCCAGTAACGTGACCACAAAGCTATGTAAATATGAAAATTATGCTTTAAAATAACACACAGTGTGGGGCTGGAGGAACACAGCAGGCCGGGCAGCATCGGTGGAGCAGGAACCCTGACATTTTGGGTCGGGACCCTTCTTCAGAAATGGGGGAGGGGGAAGGGAGGTCTGAAATAAATAGACAGAGGAGGGGTGGGGCTGGGCAAGGTAGGTGGGATGGTGATAGGGGAGTGCAGGTAGGCAGTGGTGGGCATTGGTCAGTGAGGTGGGAAGAGTGGACACGAGAAAGAGAAGACAGACAGGTCAAGGAGGTGGGGATGAGCGGGAGGGTTGGTCATGGGATGAGGCCGGGGGTGGGGAAATTTTGAAACTAGTAAAATCCACATTGAGACCATTTATTTCAGAGCTCAAAATCTTCTCATCTCACTCTTAAATGAGGACTCACCCTTGTTCTGCAACCGCTTCCCCTACCAGGGGAAGCATCTTTCTGCATCAACTCTGCCTTACCCTTTAGGAATTTTTAAAGTTTCAGTTAGATCACCACTCAATCTTTTAAACTCGAGAACACAGCTACCTCAATCACCTAGTCACCTCAATCTGTCCTGCTTTCCAAAGCCAGGAATCAGTCAGCTCTTCATTCCACTCCCTCTACGGCAAGAGTATCTTTCCTTTGGTTAGGGGGTCAAATTGCCCACAATATTAAGTACAGTCTCACCAAGGGTCTATACAACTGAAGCAGGGCAGTTTTACTTCTGTACTTCAAAACCCTTGGACAGATAAGGGCAACATACCATTTGATAACTTAATCATTTGCTGCACTTGCACGTTAGCTTTCAGTAACTCAAACAAGGACTTGGGTCCTTATGGATATCCAATCTCTCACCATTTAAGAAAAATTCTATACCTCCATTCCTCCTACCAAAGTGGACAACCTCACAATTAGCCACATTATATTCCAAATGCCATATGCTTGACCACTCAGCCTGTACAAATCCCCTTGGAGCCTCTTTGCATCAATTTCACAACTCGTATTACCACCTAGTTTTGTATAATCTGTAACCTAGGAAACATATTTGGCTCCCACAGCTGAATCATTGATATGGATTGTGAACAGCTCTGGCCCTTGGAGTACCCACTGGATGACACATTTACTCTGCTTTATTTCCATTAACCTATCCTCAATCTATCTCATTTTCCCCCACCCCTCCCCCTCCCCCTCCCCCAACATCATATGTGCTCCATTCTGTGACTTCACATAGTCCTAGAGGTGTAAGGACCCTAACAGCGTTCTTAAGGAGAGAGTTCTAGGATTTTGAGCTAGCAATAGTTGGGTATAGTTCCAAAACAAAATGGTGACAGACTTGGTGTTTTAAAATTCTTTTTTAATTAATTCACAGGATTAGGGTGTCGCTAGTTTGGCTAGCATTAATTGCCCATCCCAGAGGGGAGTTAAGAGTCAACCTTGCTGTGGGTCTGGGTTACATGTAGTCCAGACCAGGTAAGGATGGCAGTTTCCTTTCCTAAAAGGACTTCAGTGAACTAGATGGGTTTTTCCAACAATTAACATTAAACTCTTAATTCCAGACATTTATTGAATTGAAATTCCACCATCTACCATGGCAGGATTTGAACCCAGGTCTCCAAAACATTATCAGGGTCTCTGGATTAACAGTCCGGTGATAATTCCTTTAGACCGTTGCCTCGGCTTGGTGGTTGATGGTGCTATTAACAGGATGATAACTAGATGCATAAACTTGGCTTGTATTTCCATTTTTGCATTTTATTGTATCACATCTCGATCTAAAAAATCTTTAACGTAATTACGATTTGGATCAGGTAGGTGCAGAGGGGCGATTCCAGGCCAAGTGGGTCTGATAATTAAATGTGGAGCTAGGCCATTTAGGACTGTAACTGGGTTATGGCCTTTCAAGCAAATATGTTACTTCAAATCATGAATTCATGTTGCTCTTAAAGGCTATGAATTCTGGATCAATAAAAGTTATGACGACTAAGAGTGATAGATATTTATTAGATTGGGTCATCAAGGGATATAAAGCAGAAGGCAAGTAAAGAGACCACCCACGATCACTGGCATGAGGCTGTACTGCCTTCTGTTAAAAAGTTCCTAAATTGTGAAATATCTTGAAGCAGTCAAGTTTAAAAGAAATCACGTTGCCTGTTGCTATGCTTGCACTAACATTAAAAACAGAAAGCACAGATAGAACCCACATTTAATATAAACATCACAGTGGATTTAGGAGTTTCTACTTTTGAAGAATTAAGTTCTGAAATACACTTTGTAATTAAAATTCATTGAGGATCCTTAACAATGAACTAACTCTACAAAATTGGCTTAAATACAAAGGTATTTTAGCTTTCCACGGACATTAAATAGTTATCTACAAATCAGGTGTCGTGGGTCCAAACCAAATCCAAAATAAGGTAAAACTTTTCCAGAGAACCTTGCAACATTTCTGGTGCAAGATTCCAACTTCAGCTTATATTTACAATATGCAAAGTAAATCTGCTTTCAACTGACATTACAGGTATGGTGCAAATTCCAGCCCAAAATAATCCTTGCAGCAAATTTTGTCTTTTCACACATGATCATGAAATGACAGCATCTGAAATCAATTCAATACATCTTACAATTTGTATTTTTGACAACTGACCATCCACTTCCTATAAGCCATGTTTTCACACACACTAAGTGACAATACATAAGAGCATAAGAAATAGCATCAGAAGTAGGCCATTCAGCACCTCAAGTCTGCCCTGCTATTCAACAAGATCAGAGGTGATCTTGCCCCAGGACTCAACTGCTTTGTTTGTGCCAACTCAGCATAATCATCTACACGCCAACAATTTTTTTTTTTTAAAAATCACTCGACTTCCTCTTTAAATCTGTCAGTGATCTGGCCTCCATATCTCTAAGGTGTAGTGAATTCCAGACATTCACCAACCTCCTGGGTGAAGAAATTCCTTCACATTTCAGTTTTAAATGAGTGTCCCCTAATTCTGCAACTGTCTCTTAGTTTGAGATTCCCTCACTATTGGAAACATCTTCCTAACATCTGCTTAGTTAAGCCCCGTCACAATCTTGTATTTCAATAAGATCAGTTTTTATTCTTCAAAATTGTACTGAAAAAACTGTTCTTGGTAAGTCAATACCTTCATCCCAGAGATCAGTCTAGCGAATCTCTTTTGAACAGTATTCAATAGCAGTATATCTGTTTTTTTAAAATACAGGGAAAAACTGCACCCAGTACTCAAAGAGTAGTCTAATCAACAACCTGTACAGTTGTAACATGACTTCTCTATTCTTAAACTCCAACTTTCTAGCATAATAGGCCAAAATTCCACTTATCGTCTTAATTACTTGTTGCACTTGAATGCAAATATTGTGTGTTTTATGCAGAAGAACAGAAAAATCCCTCTGTGCTGCATTTTTGTTTGGAGTGTCTCTCCATTTAATAATCTGCCTTTTGGTTCTTCTTACCAAAATACATTGACCTCACACTTTCACGCACTAAACCCCATTTGTCAAGTTTGTGCCGACTCACTCAACCTAGAAAGCAACATAGAAAGCAGGACCAAGTTACTTGGACTTTCAGACCCGCATGAGAGCCAAGGTTCAAGGTTGGACCTTTTAATTTCAGGTCTTGCTGGAGACTTATTATGTTTATATTCACGTACTTAAGGTCAGTCCAACTTAATTAACCTGGTTACATATTCAATGAGACTTTTTAAGAAGTCTCAATCATGACCCTCTCTCAGATCATTTCTTAAATAGACGTTCAGGTCTAAGCATTAAAACTGAAATGAACACATTAGCTCTTAGAATGTTTGAGAAAATAAAATCAAAAGAAAGAGGACATAAGGTTCTCTTACTATAAATACAACAATTCTCAACTGTCACAATTTTAGATTTGTGCTGGAATTTTTAAAATTTTTTTTAAAACTCCTTTCCATGAAAATACTTTCATAAAAGCAAATAAGACTGCAACACTGCTCAATTACAGAGGAATAAGAAGTCAAAACAAAGTATAATTGTCTTTTATTAATATGCACTTGACTGTAAAATTAAACAAATGACAAAAAATGATAACAAGAAATAAATACTGTACTTACTGAGGTTTTTCCACCCAGACTTTACATCTGGAGTGATACTCTCTAGTTCCTTCCTGAATTTATCCCTGGCCATAGCTACCAGTTCACTGTATTGAACAACTATTTTGGCTTCCGATTGAGCTGCCTGTACCTAAACAAAAAGTAGGTATTTCAGCAGAAAGACATCAGAATTACTCAAATTAGGCTGTTTTGCCAGCACGTTCCAAACCCACGACAACTATCACCTGCAAGGAAAAAGGCAGAGATGCGTGGGAGCACTGCCATCTGCAAGCCACTGCATCCAAACTTGAAGCTCTCTTTTTTTCTGTGGCTGGGTAAAAATCTAGAACACTGTTTCAAGCAGGGTGTTCCAACACTAGATGGACTGCAGCTCAAAAAGGTGCTCGCCATTACTTTCTCAAGGGCAAATTAGGGATAAATATACATGCTGGCTGAGTCAAGAAAGCCCACATCCCACAAACAAATGTTTTCTTAAACATCTGAAGGACAGGGGTACTGGAGAATACAGGCATTAATGTTCAGACTACTAATTAGTTGGCTAATGAGTTAGCTTTTCCATCAGACTGATTTTTATTTATGGAAGTACCAAATAGGCATTTGAACAATGCAAGCCTGGAAAGAGACTGGATTTCTTTTCGTAAATGTATTGAAGTAAGGATAATCAGAGTTAAATTCAGTAAGGACTGTAAAACACAATTAAAGAAAATAAAGTATTAAAACTTTAATAACTTTCTATTGAATGTTAATTGTTGCAGTAATAACTAATGCTGATATGCAAAATAGTTTTGTTAAAATATTTGAACACTTCACCATTGTGGGAATAAGCTGAAATCTTGATTGTAAAATCCAAATGGGAGAATGGCAGGTATATTTTCCCTAGGGTGTGGGGATTTCAAGTCTAGGGACATATTTTTAAAGTGAGAGGAGAAAAATTAAAAAAAAAAAGACATGGGGGCAATTTTATTTTTAAAACACAGAGTGGTTTATGTGTGGAATGAATTTCCACAGAAAGTGATTGATGCAGGCACAGTGACAATGTTTAAAAGACTTTTAGATAGTACATGAATAAGAAATCTTCAGAGGGATATGGGCCAAGCGCATGCAGGTGGGACTAGATTAGTTCGGGATTATGGTTGGCATAGACTGGTTGGGCCGAAGGGTCTGTTTCCATGCTGTATGGCCTCTTATGATTCTATGGTAACTGATCTCGAGAAAAGGAATTTGTGGAACTTCTTTAAGATATTTTGTTGGTGCTGTTTGTGATACAGCCCACCACAGAACAGGCAATTCCGGATTTCATGATGTGTTATGAAGCAGACTTGATTAGATAGCTTAAGGTGAAGGAACCCCAAGGAGGCAGTGACCATTTATGATAGAATTCACCCTGCAGTTTGAGGAGAAGCTTGAAATCAGATGTAACGGTGTTACAATTGAGTAAAGGTAACTACAAAGTCACCGGGGAGGCAAAGGCCAGAATTAACTGGAAGGGAGCCTAGTAGGGAAGACAGTGGAGTGGCAATGGCAGGAGTTTCTGGGGGTAATTCAGGAGGCACAGCAGAATTTCATCCTAAGGAAGAAGAAACATACCAAGGGGAGGTTGAGGTGACCACAGCTGACAAGCCAAGTCAGGTACAGCATAAAAGCAAAAGAGAAAGCTGACAATGTGGTAAAGATTAATAATGAAGCCAGAGGAATGAGCTTTTAAAAACCAGTAGAGGATAACCACAGAAGCAGTTGGGTTGGGGGGTGGAGGTGGACGGAAGATAAAATATGACGGTAAGCTAGCTTGTTATATAAAAGAAAATTACAAGAGTTTTTTTTTAAAAAATAGATAAGAGCTAAGAAAGAGGAAAGAGTGGACATTGGACTGCTGGAATATGGGGCTGGAAAAGTACTAATGGTGGACAAAGATATGGCAGAGGAACTGAATCAGTACTTTGCATCAATCTTCACGATGGAAGACACCAGTAGCACACCAGAACTCCAAGAGAGTCAGGAGGCAGAGGCGAGTATGGTGGCCATCACTATGGAAAAGGTGCTGGGGAGGCTGAAGAGTCCGAAGGTGGATAAATCACCCAGGCCACATGGACAACACCCCAGAGTTCTGAAGGAGGCTGTTGAGGAGATTGTGGGGCATTGACGGTGATCTTTTAGGAAACACTGGAGTCAGGAAGGGTACTAGAAACAAACACAGGAATTGCTGGAAAAGCCGCACAGATCTGGCAGCATTTGTGAAGAGAAGTCAGTGTTAACATTACGGATCCAGTGACCTTTCCTCAGAACCTGCTGAGCACCTCTTCACAAATGCTGCCAGACCTGCTGAGCTTTTCCAGCAATTTCTGTTTGTTTCTGATTGACAGCATCTGCAGTAAGATCATTAAAAACCGAAATAAGAGGACTGGAAAATGGCGAATGCAACATCCCTGTTTAAGAAGGGAGGGAGGCAAAAGAGAGTAAATTATAAGCAATTAACCTGACCTTGGTCACTGGTAAGATTTTAGAATCTATAATCAAGTGAGAGATTGCGGAGTACTTGGAAATGCATGGTAAAATGGGGTTGAATGCATGATTCGTCAAGGGTGGTCATGCCTGCCAAATTTGTTAGAACTCTTTGACCAGGTAACACACAAGTTAGACAAAGGGGATCCAGTGGACATGATCTATTTGGATTTCCAAAGACTTTGACAAGGTGCTGCACAGGAGAACGATAAAGATGATAAGAGCCCATGGGGTTAGGGCATGGACAGAGGATTGGTTGAATGGCAGAAGGCAGACAGCAGGGATAAAGGGGTCTTTTTCAGGAAGGCAGCTCTGACTACTGGAGTCCTGTAGATGGTGGTGTTGGGATCACAACTATTCACATTGAACATTTACAATCTGATGAAGGAATTGAGGGCATTGTTGCAAGTTTGCAGATGACAGAAAGATAGGTGTAAGTGCAGGTGGTGTTGAGGAAGCAGGGAGGCTGTAGAAGATCTTGCACAGGCTAGGAGAGGGGTTCAAGAAGTGAAAGGTGGGTAAAGAAGTGAAAGATAGAAAACAATGTGGCAAAGTGGGAGGGTATGCACTTCGGTAGGAAGAATAGAAGCATAGACTATTTTCTAAATGGGAAAAGGCTTTGGAAAGCTGAAGCACAAAGTAACTTTGAAGTCCTAGTTCAGGATTCCCTTAAGGTTAACATGCAAGTTCAGCTAGCAGTTAGGAAGGCAAATGCAGTATCAGCATTCATTTCAAGACAGCAAGAATACAACAGAAGGGATGTAGTGCTGACGCTTCATAAAGTTCTGGTCACACAACATTTGGAATACAGTGAGCAGTTTTCAGTCCTATATCGAAGGGAGAATGTGCTGGCATTAGACGGTGTCCAGTGGAGGTTTATAAGAATGATTCGGGAATGAAGGACTTGTCATATGAGAAGAGGTTGAGACTTTGGGTCTGTACTTGGAGGTTAGAAGGATGACGGGGGGACCTGATTGAACTTAGAATACTGAGAGGTCTGTAAAGAATGCACCTGGAGATGTTTCCAGCAGAAGGAATGCCAAAACCAGAGAGCACAGCCTAAGTGAAGGTATGACTCTTTAGAACTGAGATGAGGAGGAATTCCTTTAGCCAGTGGGTAGTGAATCTGTGAAACCATTGCCACAGCAGACTATGGAAGCCAAGCCATCGTGAATCTTTAAAGCAGAAACAGATAGGCTTTTGTTAAGTAACGGGGTCATGGGTTATGGGAAGAAGGCAGAAGAATGGGTAGAGAAACATATCATCTGCCAGATCGAATGATGGAGCAGACTCAGTGAGCTGAATGGCCTAACTCTGATCCGATGTCTTATGGTCGTACAGAGATGAGGAGAAATTTCCTCACGTTGAGGGTGGGGAGCCTGCCACAAAAAGCAGTTGAGGTCAAAACATTAAATGTTTTCAAAGAAGAGTTAGATATAGTTCTTAGGGCCAAAGGAATCAAATGATATGGAGAGAAAGTAGGAACAGGCTAGTGCGTCAGATATTCAGCTATAATACTGAATGATGGAGCAGGCTGAATGGACTATCCCTGCTCTTATTTTCTATGTTTCTATGTCTATGATTAGGTTTCATCAGTCAAATGATCCAACACTCAGTGACTATCTGATAAGATGAATAAACACTTCTGTGGGATGCTGAAAGGTGTTGTGCCACAACACAAGCTGCAGCATTTGAAATAGGAAAGATGAAAGGGAAAGAGTTACATCTAACTTAAAACAAAAAAAGTGCGCTTTGTTTATTACCTTTCTTTCTACATGATCCAGATCTACCAACATATGTTTGAGATTCTCTTCTGCGGCCAGTAGCTGTGGTTGAACAGAAGAGATCTCACTCTGTTTAGCTTCTTCAATTGTGCTTCGAAGGTTATCCAATTCTTCTCTAAATTTGAAAAGAAAGCAAAGGACATATGACAAAAACTCAAGAAGCACATCACATTTTGCTTAAACAAAAATAAACCAAAGATCTGCGGATGCTGGAAATCAGAAAGCAGAGTTAATATTTCAGGTCCAGTCACCCTCTGTTCTGAAGAACTCTGCTTTCTCTCTACAGATGCTGCCAAACTTGGTGACTTTTTCCAGCAATTTCTCTCTTCGTCTAACATTTTGGTTAGTCTTGCTGATCGACTCAAGCACTAATAGAGTCATAAAGCATAGAAACAAGCCCTTCAGTTCTCTACGTCTGTGCCAACCAACAAACAGAAAACTACACTAATTTCATTTACCTGCTCTTGGGTCCATAGACTATGTCCTGGCATTTTAAGTGCATGCTTCTTAAATGTTGCAAGTGAACCTACCTCCACACCCATTCAGGTACCGCATTCCACATTTCCACCATTCTCTGGGTGAAAAACGTTTTCCTTAGATCCCCTCTAAAAACCACTTACACCTCACGTTAAACTTGTACCTTCTGGTCTTAACACACATGGGGAAAAAATTTTCACGATCTACTCTGCCTATGGCTCTTGTAATTTTGTAACCTCAATCAGATCCCCCTCAACCTCCTCTGCTCCAGGGAAAACAAACCCAACCTATCCAATCTCTCCTCATAACTGAGACTTTCCATGCCAAGCAACATCCTGGTGAATCTCCTCTGCACGCTCTCCAGTGCAATCATGTCCTTCCAATAGTGTGGCAACTAGAACTGCACACAGTATTCCATCTGTGGCCTGACCAATATTTTATACAGTTGTAACAAGACTTCCTTGCTCCTATAGTCTACGCTCTGACTAATGCCTTTTTCACCTGTGCTGACAACACCTTCAGGGATCTATGGACTTGTTCACCAAGGTCCCTTTGTTCTTCAGTACTCCCTACAAACCAATCATACATCATTTATGTCTTTCCATTTTTAGGCCTCCCAAAATGCATCACCTCACACTGATCGGGATTAAATTCCATCTGCCATTGCTCTGCCCAATTTACCAAATGATCACTATCAGATTTCAGCTGGAGACCATCCTCCTCACCAACAATACTACAAATTTTTGTGTCATCTACAAACTTACTAATTATACCTTCTACATTCACACCCCAGTTGTTAATGCACATCACAAACAGCAACGGTTCCAGCACCAATCCTTGTGGTACACCACTGGTCACAGGCTTCCAATCACAAAAAAAACCTCCACCATTATCCTTTGCCTCCCTATGTGCAAGCCAATTTTGATCAAGTTTGCCAACTTACCCTGGATCCAACGGGCTCTTATCTTTTGGATCAGCCATCCATGTTGGACCTTGTCAAAAATCTCACTGAAGGCCAAGTAAATCACATCAGCTGCACTACCCACATCAATATTTTTAGTCACTTTACAAACAACTCAAATTAGTCAGACAGGCTGTCCCTCTGACAAATCTGTGCTGCCTACTCCTGATCAATCCCTGCTTTTCCAAGAATTGATTAATTCCATCCCTCAGAATATTTTCCAATAATTCCCCCACCATTGATGTCAGACTAACTGGTCTGTAATTACCTGGCCTATCTCTGCTATCACTCTTGAACAAAGGAACCACTTTAGCTATCCACCAGTCATTTAGCACTTCACCTGTGGCCAGCAAGATATTAAATATCTCTGCTAGGGCCCCAGGAATCTCCTCCCTTGTCTCTCAAAGCAGCCTGGAATCAATCTTATCAGGCCTTGGGGATTTATGCACCTTTATGCCTACAAAAATATCTTATACTTTCTCATTAGTCTTAAAATGTTCTAGAACCTTGCCATCTCAACTAAAATCTCCAGCTACAGTGTCTTCCTCCTTTACGAATATAAATGAGAAATATTTATTTAAGACCTCACTCATGTCCTCTGGCTCCACACACAGATTGCTGCTTTGGTTTCTAATAGGCCCTACTCTTTCACCAGTAGTCTTGCTCTTAATAAAATGCCTTGGGGTTTTCATTAATCCTGTGCTAAAGTCACTAATGTCATTAGTTGCTCGGTAATGTCTAGTTAACAAAGGCTGCATCAAACTTCACACTCAAAAAGAAAGGTTATTGTTCTTACTCATTCCGCTATCAACTTTTCCTTTGATGACACAACGCTCTTAGTTCAGTCTATCATTTCATGACATTGACTCCTCCATTAAGGCAGGTGCAGGATCAAAGAGTAACATTTCAAAATAGCCATCTTCCATTTACTCTTTTATATGTAGTATTCTTGATTCATTTACTAAAATATTCCCTGGATGCTACAAGTGTTGCTTGGAACCCATCTTTGAGAGCTGCACAACTTGAACCAGCTCTTGCACAAGGAAACATCTGGATGTTCAGTGATTGCTCACAGAATTTTCATGACAGAAAATAATCTTATTTGTGCCCTCTGTTAAAAAAGGTATACAAAGAAAGAACAAAGAACAAAGAAAATTACAGCATAGGAACAGGCCCTTTGGCCTTCCAAGCCTGCGCCGATCCAGATCCTCTATCTAAACCTGTCACCTATTTTCCAAGGATCTGTATCCCTCTGCTCCCTGCCCATTCATGTATCTGTCGAGATGCATCTTAAATGGCGCTATCGTGCCTGCCTCTACCACCTCCGCTGGCAACGCGTTCCAGGTACCCACCACCCTCTGCGTAAAGAACTTTCCACGCATATCTCCCTTAAAACTTTTCCTCTCTCACCTTGAAATCGTGACCCCTAGTAATGGAGTCCCCAACTCTGGGAAAAAGCTTCTTGCTATCCACCCTGTCTATACCTCTCATGATTTTGTAGATCTCAATCAGATCCCCCTCAACCTCCGTCTTTCTAATGTAAATAATCCTAATCTACTCAACCTCTCTTCATAGCTAGCGCCCTCCATACCAGGCAACATCCTGGTGAACCTCCTCTGCACCCTCTCCAAAGCATCCACATCCTTTTGGTAATGTGGCGACCAGAACTGTACGCAGTATTCCAAATGCGGTCAAACCAAAGTCCTATACAACTGTAACATGACCTGTCAACTCTTGTACTATGTTATCCAGAATATGAAGTTATATTATCCAAGATCGAAAATATGTCCATGTACATATCTGGGACTTTCTGGAAAGAACACTTTGCAAAACAAATGACATGGACTACAGCAGCTACAACGCTGCATTTGCAAGAATAAGCTGCTTGGTTGGAATCACCATGACTGCACCACTTCCAAGAAGTGATGCATAACCCAGTTTGTGGATTAAAAAAGATATAAACATAAAGTCTAAAAATTAGAAAAAAGAAACTTCAAAAAGGCATGAGATAAAGGGTAGAGATATCAAACTTTATGGATAACACATTGAGATGGCCAGAATAAGCATAATGCGTTAAACTTCCTCCTTGTTTGGAATAAATCTCCAAAATTCTCCAATCCAGTTACTTCATTAAGTGTGTTTCCTGGTAGCTAGTGGACTCTGTTCACACCCATCTGAATTTTCAAACACCTTTTAAAATAAACAGGATTAAAAAAAACAAACAAACTTACTTGGCTTTCATCAATGCTTCATTGGCTTGGTTTACAACCTTGCTGCGGACACTCAAAGCATTTTCCAAGGCTCGCCATTGTTCTGACTTCCGATCTACAGTATTCTGATAGGAACAATGATAATCAATAAAATAACGTATTTTCTCCACAAAATATAAGAATTGTTGTTTGTTAAATTTTGCTGTGCACAAACTATCTACATTTGCCTACATAATGCTGTACCAACAGAAGTGGAAGCAAGTTTAAATGAGGCATTCCCAAGGCATTCTGTGTTTCCGTTGACGTACGTCATACTTGAACTTACACAAACAGAATGAGAAAATTTCAAACTTCTCAGTAATAATCAACATGCCATTAAACTTTACAGTAGGATCCACTACATACCTTCCAATTATAATGATCCATTAATTCAGACTGCCTTAAAATGTAGACTCCACCTTCATTTACAAGGAACTCATTACTTTATGATATCCAGTTTCCTAGATCCCAGCTAGCTGAGTATTCCTTTGTGGTAGGTCCTCTAAGAGGAGGTCCTCCTCCTCCTACAACCACTTTGCAAAACCCTCCTACTTCCAACATTATCTTGCAGTCCACCCAATCAGGGCCGCAGCAAAAATTGGACTCACCAATTCTGGCCTGGGCAAAAGGCAGTCCATGGAAACTTCCTCACTGCCTTACTCTGATCACATTCTTGCTAAAACTGATAGCTGCTCATCCATCACAGGTCTCTTTTCACCCATATTTAGTGCTGATGGCTCACTAGTGAGCCAATCAGTAATCTCCATGTAAGACAACCAATTTGTGATTTAAGGTGCTGCTCATCACCATTTCCATCTACTTTATTTAGGGTATGACTTTCTCCAATTGGTCTGTCCCACAGGTGGATTTTCCGAGGAGATTTGGGGACTTATTTGTGCAAATCTGCCCACTGCCCTGTATGTTTTAAGCATTGGAGCAAGGATATAAAATGAATGAGGTTATGTTAACCTTGTACAGAACACTAGTTCAGCTTCATTTGGAATATTGCATCCACTCTGGACATCACACTTTAGGAAAGATGTGAAGGTACTGGAGCATGTAAAAGAGACTCAAGGAAATAAATTTGGATGAGGAACTTCAGCTACATAGGTAAAATAGATAAAATGCATGAAGGAAAGGAGATTGGATGGAGGTTTTAAAAATTGTCAGGGATCTGCTAGATAAAGAGAAACTGCTGTTATTGGTTGATGGATTGAGAACCAGACGGTACAGATTTAAGAAAATTGGCAATGGAGTAATAACAACACAAGGAGAAACATTTTTATGCAGCCAGTGAAATTTATGGATGGTATATTGGGAGAAGCAGCTTTAATTGAGGCATTCCTGAGGGAGTTGAATTGTTGTTGGAAAGGGAAGTATGTACAGGACTATGGTGAGAAGGCAAGCGTGTGCCTCTAAATAAATTGCCCCATGGAGAGATGGCACAAACATGACATGCAAAATTGCCCCCTTTGTACTGTAACAAATCTGGTGATTCATGCAGGGGCTTCCACACGTGCAAATACTTATGAGTCAATCAAGAGAGACTACTATAACAGAGACTTAAATGTTCCTTACAATGACATTTCATTTTAAATAGTCACACTCTTCTCGAAAATTTACCTCAGAATCATCCATGGCTTCCTTTAACCTCTGGGCATGCAAGGTAATGGCTTCTATAGCTGAATCCTGAGCTTCGATTGCCTTGAGTGTGACTTGGGCACTTCTACCAATAGAATCTTCCAAAGTTGATGTTATTTCTGCACAAGAGTAATGCACGTTATAAAAGTACAGTATTATAATCAAACTTCCTTGAAATAAAATCTATTAAGTCCCAGTAGTTTTGCCTAGGATACACCATACAATTATTAGTATTAAGGTGTTAATGAAATTGAATCTCAAGTGGCAATCCTTCATGTGAACTTTGGGTACAGAACTGGCAGCATCTTTGTCTTTGAAGCATTATAACTGAGTATCAGCTTGTCCTTAACTGACACCCATACATGCATTTTCTCAGGATTTGCTGTACAGCAGTCAGGATCAAAATCATGATTTCCTCTTCAAAGGCAAGTTTTCACACAGACTGAAGGATTGAACATGCAAGATTTATGGCTGAAATGGTTCCACCAGACAAAAATGTCTGCTGCCACCCTGAAAACAATTTCGGTACACGTGCAAACCGTGCATGTACACTTACACTTGCCAGTACTGCAGTTAAATCATTCCATCCTGTTCACTCATATCTATTGTGTTTTTTTTGGGAATTGCTTTTTGGGAAGTGGTTTTTAAATGGCAAGGTGTTTCATAAAGTGTGCATGCGCACTTTTCCAACTGTGCAATTTGAAATTCTTGAGGGTGTTAGGGGTCACAACCCCACCAAACTGCAGATGGTGTATTAGCCAAAGTAAATCATCAAGTGAGGCAGACTGCATCTAATATGCTTACTAGCTTCAAACAAAAGAATCCCTGGAGAAACATAAATCTAATCAGGTTACCAATCAAGTAACGTGAGAATGGAGAAAATAGAATTATAACAGGGTAGCTTGTAAGAATAATTTCAAGGGAGCTGACATTAAATCTAGTCCCTGTTTGACCTCTCGGGTGGATGTAAAAGATCCCACAGCACTATTTCAAAATACAACAGAATTCTGCTTCAGATCCCAACTAACATTAATCACTCAACTAATGTCGCTACAAAGGGAATTATCTAGTTCATTATCAGTGCTATTCCAAGGTCACTGCTATGCACAAATTGGTCACTGTGTTTCCTACATTACTTGAAGAGATTGCACGTTAGAAGCATACCAATGGCTGTGAAATGTTTTTGGATGCCCTTTGGTCATGAAAGTCACTATATATGCAAATCTGCCTTAATCACTTGAAGGAAGTAATGGTAAGCTACAAGAGGGTGTGGGATCTTCATGCAACATTGCCTGGGCTTTCAGGAGAAGGTGGGAGAAAATTTAGAATTCAGCCCAAAAAAAATGCAGGTGGAGACCTACCAACTTGCAGCTGGAAAATGGTATTATGTTAGTCACAAAAATCTACCTGTTAGTAGTTAAGGGATTTGAAATTGATTTTATTTACCAACAACTTTGATGTTTTCCTCTCTATCTTGCTGAGCTAGGTGTTTTGCAACTTCCTGAGGTGGGTGTTCTTCTACTGCGACGTGTTGGCCCTGCAAGGCTTCGTTTTCACAACTACAGCTTTCACCTTATAAGAACATAAGGACATTATATTTATGACCAGGGGTAGGTCACTTTGAATGACAAATGTGTCCTTTAAACAAAAACGACTACACATTCATCAAGTGTTTTCTCTCCAGAAACTTGTCTAGTTACTTACTGACCCCATTTTCTTTGGCAGTACAGTTTAATACAGCCACTGGTAACTTTTATTTGCCATTTTTTCCATCCCATCAGTCACAACTTTAAAAAAGAACCTCACAAAGTTTTCTCTTCCTTGCACTTGAAAAAATTGCAAAAATGATTCAGTTATTTTTCCAACAATTGACATTAAACATGCTGGTTAATAAGATTCCAGGTATACCTTTTAATCCTTTCTGTTAAAGTAATGATGTTTCACTGGTCAGTTTCTGATCCTTATAGTTCTTTCCCTCACTGAATGAAGTTACACCAATGTCAGTTGGTTTCATTAATTTGTGTTCTCATCTTCTAGAAAACATGGTGATACCAGTGGCCTACTCAGGTACTTTTTTTATATTAAAAGCATCTAAACATACAACTGATTTAAAGCAGATCATTAATTTCATAATATCCAGGTAGTGTTTTGAATTATTTTTGCACATTTGATTTTCTCATTTAAGAAACTTCAAATTAGTAAAATATACATGGAACAACTATTTAAGTGTGCAGTAACTGTCTGCAGTCTACAAAGAATCATTGGCAACTCTCTCCATACGAGAGCGCCAAGTGATTATACAGCTTGAGACACACCACTCTGTACCAAGTGTGGGTAAGGCAAGATGGAAAGCTTCCATAAACTACCTCAGCAGGGACTGAACGCAGACTGTTGACATCATTATGCACCACATTAAAACTATCTAACCAACTGAGCTAACTGACTGCCAAGTAACTACTCGTTAGCCAATATCTGCTTTTCTCCAAAATTCAGGTCCCAATTCAATTGCAAATGCTTATAAAGGACCACACTGGTGGAAAAACCATATTAAAACCATAGTCTTTGATGCAGTAAATGATTGTGAACTCTGCTGATTACGAAAATGTAAAATGGTATTGGATGCAACTTCCACCCAATACTTGCAAGGACCTGAAGTGCCAACAGAAAATGACAGTGTGCCAGTAAAGAACACATTGCAGCACTGATATTTCCTGCAATCCATAGCAGGCTCAGTAAATACTAGGCAGAGGATTAACAAAATAGCCAACATAGCTAACATGGTGTAAGTCCGTGCCTTTCTAAATGACACTTGAGAGCAACAGAAAACAGTTAGCACTTTTTGGCCAAAATACATGGTTGTTCATAATAAGTGTACAATGGGCTGTACAAGTGGTGAGAACCATTTGTTTCAAGTGTATCATTATCCTATTCCGTTCATATATACAAGTTGCCCTTATTATGTAACCACTAACATGGCAAAATAACTCAAGATGGTTCACCAGTGTTATTAAGCAAAACTTGATACTGAACTATGTGGACAGATTAAGACAACTGACAAGAAGCTTGGTCAAAGAGGTAAGCTGAAAGCAGCATCTTTGAAGAGGTGAGGAGTATGGGTGCAAAAATAGTTGAGGAGAGAATTACAAAGTTCAGGACCCAAGCAACCGAAAACACAGTAATCAAATGGTGGAGTAATGAAAATTGAGAATCCATAAGATATGTTCGGCTCACATACACAAATGAGTGGATATTCTGTGGAATTATTGTCAGTAAATCAGAGAACATCCAATGCAATATATATTCCCGGCTACTGGTGTAGTGATTGAATAAGAAACTTAAGAGGGTGGTACAGTATAATTGAGCGCAAAATATAAAATTTCATCCCTTCCCTTACAGCAACAAGTAATTCAACTTTCTTCTAGTTAATTATATTCAAGCTATATCACCATGACTTTATTGGCATATTGATGATTATTCTCTCCATTTGGAAATAGTTTTGCACTGCAGGTACATTTATATGGTGCTGTAGCCAGCACTCTTTAGCTCACGTACTCCAGGTAATAGCTTATTGTCTGTTTAAATTTTTGTTTACTATTTTCTCTACCAACAATTCTAAATAAAGATCAACAACCAATATCGTAAAGAGATGCTTTAGAATAAGTAGCCTGGTAAAATTGTTCTCTAATTGGCTACAACATATTCCCTGACAATTCAGACATCATAACTTCTGTCATTAAACAGATCTCTTTACTTACGACTTGCGTCATGTTTTTGTTCCATTTCAACTTGGACCCCAGGAGCTGGGACTGTTGGAGCATCACCAACAGCAGAAATAATTGCAGCTGCATCTTTAGAAGAGGCTGATCATAGGATAGGGTATCAGAAAGACAAAATGATTGTACGGTGTTAAAATTATGCTCTGTATAAAGCACCTGAGAGCTATGCAGTCAGGAATTTACCTCACATTTCTATGCTAGCTAAGTTCATTACGGCACCAATTCCTCAGCAGTAAACCATTCGAGAGCACCTTTACAACACTTGTTGCATAACACAAACCATCATTCAAAACAACCTGAATATTTTCACAATGCATTCTTGCAAGTCAGTCTCCACCCAACTGTATTTCTTTGTGTACTTCTTTCCATAAGTATTTTCCTCCACTGTTTCTTAATAGTAGCCCCTTAACATATTTATCCTTTAATGAAAAGATTACTTTGTCTTTTTTGTCCTTCCACTCTTTGAATACCCCTTTTTCTGTCCCATTGTGAGGTCCTACAACTTTTTATTAGTGATCTCATTCTCCATTGCTCATGAATTTCCTAATAAAATGTAATCTTCCTTTTCATTGTATATTTAATGATACTTTTTGTCCTTATTTCAAACCTTCATTATTTCTTAAGACTGTTTTGTTTTCATTTATTCTTCACATGTCATTTGCTCAAACCTCAAGGTCATATACTCATTTTCATTTGCAAAAGCTTGGGCTATTCTATGCTAAAGGAAGTTTTGACCTGAACTCTGTCACATGCTAATGAATACAATAAAAGTTTCTTCCCTATCCAATATTCTCCACCATAAAGACAAAAAATGCTCATTTCTAAAGCCTGATGAAGGGTCTAGGCCCGAAACGTCAGCCTTCCTGCTCCTATGATGCTGCTTGGCCTGCTGTTCATCCAGCTCTACACCTTGTTATCTCATTTCTAGAGACCACATTTATTCAAATATTTTCTCCCTTTCGCAATGCTGTATTAAACACATCAACTGGCGGATTTTTTTCTCAAATCCATTGATTAGCAAAGATAAATGTGGGTCTATAACAGAGAGAGAGAGCAGAATATATAAAAGAAAACAGAGAGAGGTGGCAGAGAAGTTAAATAAGTACTTTATTTCTGTCTTCAGAGGAAGAAATAAGAAGGCTACCTGAAATGATTAAGATCAAAAGATGCTGGCGGGAGGGAATGTGAGGTTTTTGGATTTTCAGAAGGCTTTTCATAAAAGAACATAGAACGTAGAACAGTACAGCACAGTACAGACTCTTTGGCCCATGATGTTGTGCCAACCTATTATCCTAATCTAAGATCAAACTACCATATTAAAGCCCCACACCTGAAGTTAGCAAACAAAATTAAAACACATGGGATTGGGTTAACATACTTGCAAGGATGGAGGAGTGGCTAACAGTCAGAATACAGAGTAGAAATAAGTAGCTCATTCTCCGTTTAGGGGGCTGTGAACAGTGCAGTACTACAGGGATGGGGAGGTGGGGAACAGCTCTTCACAATCCATATCCAATGAACTGGATTTGAGCGGGGGGGGGATGAAGAGAGTGTAGGGAGGCACATGTAGTGCAGTAGTAGTGGTAAGTAGGAGGAAATGATGACAGCATAGTGGTATTGTCATTGCACTAATAGTCCAGAAACTTAATCTAATGCTCTGGGAACTTGGGTGCAAATCCTACTGTGGCAGATGGTGGAATTCACATTTAATAAATCTGGAATTTAAAAACTATTATAATGATGACCAGGAAATAATTGTTGCAAATAAAAAGAAACAAAAAAAAAAAACACCTGGATGGGAGCAGAAAGTACTCTTGAGGCACAGTGATAATATTCTTACCTCTGAGCCAGGAGCCAGAAGGCCCAGGTTCAAGTCCCACCTGGTCCAGAGGTTGTAATAACATCTCTGAACAAATTGATTAGAAAATATCCAGATGTGGGGGCCAAATGTAATATTCCCATGCAAATGACACAAACTTGTTGGAAATGCAGCAGATGCAAAGAGGCTTCAAGGGAAGTTTGACAGCCAGGATTAGTGGGCAAGAGCACGTCAGATGGAATATAATGTGGATAAGCAAAAGATTACCCAGACTGTAGGGGGAACACAGATGGAGATTATTTCTTAAATGGACAGAAATCAGGAAGCGTCGACATCCAAAGGGACCCAGGTGTCCATGTTTGTATGTCACTGAAAGCCAGCTTACAGATGCAGCAAGCAATTGAGAAGGCAAAGTATACGTTAGCATTTATTGTAAGAGGATTTGAATGCACAGCAAAGTAGTAGTCTTGCTTTGAATGTATAGAAGAATGGAAAGGATATCTTTCCTTGGAACCAAAAGGTGAGTGCAATAGAGGCTCACTAGACTAATTCCTGGAAATGGTGAGACAGTCCTATGAGGAGGCTGGGCCTGCATTCTCTAGTTCAGTAAAATGAGACACAATCTCAAAGAAACTTACAAAATTCTTAAAGGAACAAATAGTAACTGCAGAAATGATGTTTCCCTTGGTTGTGGATATAGACCAGGGGGACAGTCTCAGAATAAAAGGCAAACCATTTAGGGTTCAGATGAGGAGGAACTTCTTTATTCGGAGGGTAATGAATCTTTAAAAACCGAAAGAACTGCAAATGCTGCAAATCAGGATCAAAAACAGAAGTTGCTGGAAAAGCTCAGCAGGTCTGGCAGCATCTGTGAAGAAAA